AGTTTTCTCTGAAGCACTGGTACCAACTTACATTTCAACAACCGTCGGCCCACACTGTCACTGGCACTGGGTGCTTTCAGATACTATAATGTTCGTCCACGTGGAGCCAGTGTAATACTATCTTATTGTGGTTTTAACGAGCGCTTTCCTGTTGCTAATGAGCTGGAGCTGCTTTTCATTTGTTTACCGGCTGGTTGTTTTCTCTTTAATGAGGTGCAGCTCAAGTGAGCCCATTTTTCTGTATTTTGTTTTCTCATGTATTTGTAGAAATTCTTCTTGGAATTCTGGAGACCGACACTCTGATGCTTGCACGTGTTGTAAAATTCTTCTCTCACCTGATGGCTGATGATTTAGCACTACCTATGGTGTCTTTTATGAAGAGTCCTGAATTGTAACATAGTCCAGATTGTCCGTGCTTCTCTTTATAAATAGTGCTATTTATGTCTTCTTCAGGAATCCCTCCCTACGTTTAGTTCTTGGAGATATTCTGTGATGTTACCTTCTAGGAACTCTAATGTCTTGTCTTTGGTAAAACAGTAGCTCTTCTCCATCTGCCCTGGGTTTCAGTGCCTTGTAGGAGCTGGGGGTGCAATCTCATCCCACTGCATTCAGATCCCTCGCTGCCCACACACATTATTGAAGTTTATCTTCTTGTCACTTCTGTGCATCAGCCCCTCTATCATGCATGATGTTTCCTGTGGTTTAGGTCTATGGTATTGCTAGGTGCTCTGTTCTGTTCCCGTGGTCTAGTGGTCTAACCCTGTGTTAGTACAGCACCGTCTTGTTTTCTATAACATTTTAATGTCTTGACGTCTTATGGAGCCAGTTCTCATACATTGTTCTTCATGATTGCCTTGGCTGAACTTGGAAAAATTTACTTCAATATAAATTTACAATAGCGATACCAAGTTCCACAAAAGTCACTTGGAGACTGGTGACATGTTGCTTTAACTCAGAAGATTAATTTGGGTAGGCTAGACTTTTATACAATACTAGAGGCCCGGTGCACAAATTCGTGCATGGTGGGGTCCACCTGCCCGCCCCGATGGGGGCCAATCAGGGCTGGGCTGGTGTGGGGGAGGGGATGTGGGAGGTTGGCCGCCAGCCCCATCCCCAATCAGGGTGGGGGGACAATTGGGGACAGGGCTGGCCAGGGGGAGGGGCTATGGGGGGTTTGGGGGGCCAATTGGGGCCCCCATTGGGCCGGTTGGCCCCTTTAGTGAGCCTCATAGCGACCGATTGTTCCAATTGTTCTGGTCGTTCTACTGTTCTGGTCACTTGGCTTTTATAAATATAGATTGTTGTCATACCCATTAACATGCATATTGTCTATTTATTTGCATCTTTAATGTCCTCCTAAACAGATTTATAATTTCCTTCATTGAGAAAGGGCATATTATATTTTTATGTCCATCTCTCTTAGCAATATACTCTCTTAGCAATTTTCAAATATACAACACAGTACTATTAACTGCATTATTATAGCTAATAGTATTAATACCCACTATTATTATAAAAATATGTTTATTTATTTCAAAGAGGAAGTGAGAGGGAGAGATAGAAACATCAGTGATGAGAATCATTGATCGGCTGCCTCCTGCAAGCCCCCTACTGGGGATCGAGCCTACAACCTGGGCATGTACCCTAACTGGGAATGGAACTATGACCTCCTAGTTCATAGGTTGATGCTTAACCAATGAACCACACCAGCGGGGCAGTACCCACTATTATTAACTACAGTCACCATGCTGTACATCACATACTTATGATTTAATCATTTTATAACTGGAAGTTTGTACCATTGACCACACTCATTCATATTGCCCAACCCACAGGCTCTGCCTCCAGTAACGATCAATCAGTTCCCTGTATCTCTGAGTTTGATTTTTTTCAATGTTTCTACATATAAGTGAGATCATACTGTATTTGTCTTTCTCTTTCTGATTTACTTCACTTAGTACAATGCCCTCGTGGTCCATCCATGTTGACCCAAATGGCATGAAGTCCTTTTTATAGCACAATAACATCCCACTGTATATAGAGCACACTTTCTTTGTCCATTCATGGATTGATGGGCACTTAGGTTGCTTCCACATATTGTAGATGCTGCTGCAATGAACATAGAGATGCATGTGTCTTTTCAAGTTAGTGTTTTTATTTCCTCTAAATAAATACCCAGAAGTGGTGTTGCTGGGTCATGTGGCAGCTTTATTTATAATTTTTGAGGAACTGCCATATTGATTTACATAGTGGCTGCCCCAATTTACATTCCCAGCAACAGTGCAAGAGGGTTCCCCTTTCTGAACATTCTTGCTAACACTTATCATTTCTTTTCTTTTTTTTTTTACATTTTATTTTATTGATTTTTTTACAGAGAGGAAGGGAGAAGGATAGAGAGTTAGAAACATCGATGAGAGAGAAACATTGATCAGCTGCCTCCTGCACACCCCCTACTGGGTATGTGCCTGCAACCAAGGTACATGCCCTTGACCGGAGTCGAACCTAGGACCCTTCAGTCCACAGGCTGACGCTCTATCCACTGAGCCAAACCGGTTAAGGCTATTATTTCTTGTCTGTTTTATTTCTCAGCTTGAGATTTGCTAGACCTCTCAGTGATAGGAATTGTGGGGGTACAACCATGGAAATCGTGCTTTTCTTTAGGTCTCTGCTTTGCACTAGACCAGTGGTCAACAAACCACGGCTTGGGAGCCACATGCGGATCTTTGACCCCTTGAGTGTGGCTCTTCCACAAAATACCATGTGTGGGCGCACATGTACAGTGCGATTGAAACTTTGTGGCCCATGCGCAGAAGTCGGTTTTCGACCTGGGAGAGTCTATTTTGAAGAAGTGGCATTAGAAGAAGTGGGGGGTGTCGGTCGGTTGAGCGAAGGGAGACGCAGCGCCTGGGGAAAACCAGCCCCTTGGGGGAGGCGCGTGCGATTCAAGCACGAGTTGAGGATGGGAGAGTCGGAAGGGGTCGACCTCAGCGAACTTACCTCAATCAGATTGAGGACGTTTTTAGCAAAGGCCAGCTTAGGAGTCCCTAATGAAGTTAATAACAATGTACCTATCTATGTAGTTTAAGTTTAAAAAATTTGGCTCTCAAAAGAAATCTCAATCATTGTACTGTGGATATTTGGCTCTGTTGACTAATGAGTTTGCCGACCACTGCACTAGACAATCTTCATTGTAATATGCGAGGAGTCCAGATAGGTGGTGGGGGGAGCTGGTTCCTTCCTTTCCACCTGCACCCAAGGCAGGGGCAAACTCAGGTTTGTGGACCCTGATATTGACATAGATGTCAAGATTATTGCTTCAAAAAAAATACAAAATCTGCTACACATGGATTTTTCTAACACGAGAAAGCATATTACATCAAGTCACAAAGGCAAAAATGTTTAAGCCCAAAATATAAGACAAATGAAAAAAAGCACAGACTATTTTTCTTAGCCGTGCGACCTACCTGCCCGGCACACCGGCATAAGGCGTGTTCTCTAATTTTCTAAATCCTCAATTGAGGACATGTTTATTGATTTTAGAGAGTAAAGAAGAAACATCAATCGGTTGCCTCCTACATGCCCATACAGGGGATGGGACCTACAACCTAGGTATGTGCTGTGACTGGGAATTAAATCCACAACTTTCTGGTGTAAGGGATGACACTCCATCCTGAGCCACCTGGCCAGGCTCCACAGTTTTTAACTGATACTTTTTGATTGACTCTTTATAGGAGATTAATTCTGTCACATAGTAATAAATGTTAATATTATATTAAGTATTAATTACTAGAAAATTATATTTATACTAGAGGCTCAGCACACAAAATTCATTCATGGGTAGGGTCCCTAGGCCTGCTGGGGCTCAGGGCTAATTAGGGTCTTCCAGCTGCCAGCTGGGGCCTTCCTTCATTCCACATTACCCCTGGTGGTCAGCACACATCATTGCGGGCAATCAAACTCCCAGTCTCCCCATCAAACTCCTGAGGGGACACTTTGCATATTAGCCTTTTATATATATAGATAACATAGAGAATAGAGAGAGAATTCAGTGTTCCCTTCAGCATGGCTGTTAGACATTTTCTTTTTCTCCTGTACAATTAAAGAAACGTTTCTTTCAATCACACAATTTGCTACTGGAATGTCTGAAGTTTCACATCACTGCCATATTTGGGAAAACATTGATCAAGTTTCTTTCTTTCATAAAAGAGTAGTAGGATTGCAGGTTGTGTCCACACAGCACTCGAGCCCCTTCTGGGCTTTGAAAAGGGATGGAGCATGTGAGGGGACTGAAGGTGGAGCTTCCTGAGCTGTAAGGTGGTGAATTTGCTGATGTGCTGAGGCTCCGCCTCTGGGTCCCTCTGAATAGGGTGAGATCTCCCTTCACACATCGCCTTCTGATGGGGCCTGTGTGCTGTCACTGTACAGGTCTCTCCGGCTCTGAAAGACCCACACGTGTGCCTCCCATGTCCCCACAAAGCTCTCAGGGCAAAGGGCTTCAATGCTCAAGTTTACGCAGGGGATCCACCCCCCAACTGGAGTTGAGTCTAAATTCCTTTTCCTCTTGCCATCACTTGAGTTGTCTAAAGAAAATTTAAAGTTATCCTTTTCCAGACCCATCAGTGGTTACAGCTCAAGGTTGTATCTCCCCCAAGTCCAGCTCTGACCCCAGTGGCCCCCTGGGTGACCTCCCTCTCCACTTACACATCATCTGCAGGGTGATTACTTTCAGATTCAAATCTGGACACGCCTCTCAACCTCTAGGGGCCTCAGCATATCTACCGGCAGGGTTGAGTGGGAGGGGGGAGGAAGACAGGATGAGTTCTCAGACAACACCCACCCCCCACCGGCCACGTCCTGTGGAGGCCAAGTTCCCCTCCAGCCTGGCCACAGTCTCTCCCCCAGGGCTTCCTGTTGAGGCATCATAAGCCCCCACCACAGAGCTGGGCACTTACCTCCCTGACACAGGGACCCGGACCCGCTCTGCCCTGCCAGAGGCAGACATGGTGCCCCTGCTGCTGCTGCCCCTGCTGTGGGGGGGTGAGTGGACTGAGGGAGGGGGGCTGGGCAGGTTGGGGATCAGCAGGGGCTGCCACTGAGCCTCTGCCCCCTCCCAGGGTCCCTGCAGCAGCTGCCAGGCTATGAGCTCCAAGTGCAGGAATCGGTGACAGTGTTTGAGGGTCTGTGTGTCCACGTGCCCTGCTCCTTCTCCTACCCGAGGAGTTCGTGGTCTTCCTCTAGCAAATTCTACACCTACTGGTACCGGGACGGGGACAACACAGCCTATGATGCTCCTGTGGCCTCGAGCAACTATAATAAACCAGTGAAGATAGAGACCAAAGTCCGATTTCTCCTCCCGGACCCCAGGACCAACGACTGTTCCTTGCACATCAGAGACGCCAGGAGGAGTGACACAGGACGCTACTTCTTCCGAGTGGAGATAGAATATCCTGAATATAATTACCAAGGACATTTCCAAGGATATAAGTCCCAAGGATATAGTTACCAAGATAAAATGCTGGATTTGCAGGTGACAGGTATGGCAGGGGCCCAGGAAAGGACCCAGGGACATGGGACCCCATCTTAGAGCAGGAACAGGACACTGGACACTCCCTGTCCAGGCCTTGGGCCCTGGGTGGTTGGAAGATCACAGGGCCTGGGGAGCTCAGGGGCCCTGAGGCATGAGTCCCACTCAGGATCACACTTTGGGTCCCCACACCCTGGAGCCCAGGCACCTGCCTTTCTCCCCTGCATCCCTGACAGAGAAACCGCACATCCGTATTCGGGAGCCGTTGGAGGCCGGCCACAGCACACAGCTTTCCTGCAGCCTGCCCGGGGACTGCAAAGGGGGACGACCTCTCAGCTTCTCCTGGGCGGGAGCCGCTGTGGACTCGCTGGACCCCCAGACCCTCCGCTCCTCAGTGCTCACCTTCACCCCGAGGCCCTGGGACCATGGCACCAACCTCACCTGTCAGGTGAAACGGGAATGGCCTCAGTTGACCACACAGAGAACTATCCGGCTCAGTGTCTCCTGTGAGTGTTGGAGGGGTGGCTATGTCCATGGGGACAGTGGGAGCAATGTGTGTGTGTGTGTGTGTGTGTGTGTGTGTGTGTGTGTTTATGTGTGTGTGTGTGCTGGAGGCTGAGCTAACCTGAGAACACCCGGGCATAGATCTGCGTGTAGGTGGGGAGGGGGCCAGAAGGAGAGAACCCATCCTTCCAGGTTCCCACCACCGACCTTGGGACTGGGGCGACTTCCATCTGAAGGGGGGCCCTGTCTTTCTATCCCAGATGCCCCTCAGAACCTCACCATAGGCGTCTCCTTCAGAAACGACCCAGGTAGGAAAGAACCCCTCCTCTCGGGGCTGTGAACTCCCATGGGGCCTGGGTGGGGCAGAGGAGGGAGCAGGAGTTTGAATGGGATCAGACATGGGAAGGGCAAGGATGAAAGTCATCACCCCAGTCCCTCATCTCTGGTGGGTAGGTGCCTGCACACATCTCTCTTCTCTCCCTTCTCTCTCTCTCTCCCTCTCTCTCTCCCTCTCTCTGCATTTCTCTACCCAAAGCCTTCAAGAATCTACAAACCACATCCCTTCTCATTCTGGAGGAAGAGGCCCTGAGGCTGCTCTGTGAGGCTGACAGCAACCCCACTGCCGAGCTAAGCTGGTTCCGGGGGTCCCCAGGCCTGAACGCGACCCCCCTCTCCAGCACCGCGATCCTGGAGCTGCCTCGCGTGGGGCCTGCACAGGAAGGAGAGTTCACCTGCCAAGCTCGGCACCCGCTGGGCTCCCAAAGTGTCTCTCTCAACCTCTCCGTGTTTTGTGAGTGGGGAGTGGACTGAGACGGGTGGGGATGGGGCAGGGGGGCGGGCACACTTGAGAGTAGGTCGCCTCAGTGCCTGCAGATGTTAGAGGCAGCGCTGACCCTTCTCCTTGCTCCGCACAGACCCCCCGCAGCTTTTGGGACCCTCCTGCTCCTGGCAGGACCAGGCTCTGTTCTGCAGCTGCTCTTCCAGGGCCCAAGGGGTCCCCTCCCTGCACTGGCGGCTGGGGGCGGGGCCCTGGAGGGGAACCATGGCAACACCTCCCACCCGCAGTTACCTCCTGCTCAGAGGGGCCCTGGACTGACAGCTCCCTGAGCCAGGGTGTGGGGCTCAGTGAGGGACTCAGATCCAGCTGTAAGGTCAGGATTGTCCATGGAGCCCAGGGCGCCTCTGTCCTGTTGCTGCCAGGTCAGGGCCTGCTGGGCAGAGGCCACGGAGAAAGGAGTCGGTCAGAGAGAGGGTGGAGCTGGGGGAGATGAGGGCTGAGAGGGGACAGGGAGGATTGCTAGGACAGGGCTCTCCATCTCCTGCCTGAGCAGAACCCACCGCGGGTTCAGCAAGGAGGAGGGAAGAGGAGAGACTGAGTCCTGGGAGTGGGTGGTGTCACCTGAGCTGATGCTGGAGGAACAAGCCCTGAGCCCTTCCAGCCCTCAGCACCAGGGCTCCTGGAGCTGCCCCATGTGGGGCTGGAGGCGGAGGGGAGTTCACCTGCCGGGCTCAGCACCCGCTGGGCTCCCAGCACGTCTCCTTCAGCCTCTCTGTGCAGAGTGAGGTGCAGGACAGGTGTGGGGCCGGCTGCCTGGTCAGGTGTTGGGGCTGTGGGTGGACTGAGACCTGGACAGCACGTCACCCGTCTCCCGCATCCCCAGGCAGCCCGCACTCCTGCAGATGTGTGACCGAGGAGCAGCAGGGCTCCTGGCCCCTGGTCTTCACCCTGATCAGAGGGGCCCTCATGGGGGCTGGCTTCCTCCTCACCTACGTCCTCACCTGGCTCTACTACACCAGGTGAGCAGGCCTGTCCCTCCCAGGGAAGATCAGGATTTGGCCCTGAGGTCCAGGTGGGGCCGAGCTGTCCGGCTCTGCCTGGAGTTAGAGCCAAAGTGGCCGAGTCTCTGAGCTGACATCTGTGTGGGCCCCGCAGGTGTGGAGGCCCCCGGAGCAGGAGGCAGAGCTCCTGATGGATTCTCCCTTCCTCTCAGGATGGGACTGAGGTGCGGACACCAGGCGAGAGGGACCGTCCTGGGACGTCAATGTCACCTTCTCCCTGGAAGCTCTTGACTCACCTGCCTCCAATGTGCCCCTGGGGTTTCAGTGTGTGGAAGTGACTGAGTGACGCCAAGGGGAGTCAGTGCCATGGAGAGAAGACTTTTCCTCCTCTCACCTCCAGAGAGGAGGGGCCGCTGTGCCCGGGAAGCCCGGATTTCCTCAGGAAGCAGATGCAGGTGCAGGGCCGCCTAGCGAGGGCCTTGATTGGGTTCCATGGGAAACGCAGGCAGGGCAGGGTGAGCCGTTCAGGACCAGCTGGTGTGTGTCAGTCGGGGGATGGGCCTGTGGGTGTGGTCTCTATGTGTTTGGTCCCAGGTCTTGGTCATTTGGGTTAGGCTGGGGTGGCTGGAAATATGGGCTCAGGATGGGTTTGTTTGCATCTGAAATTCTTTGCTGTCTCTGAGAATGGGCGAGCCCTGGGAGGCCCTGTCTCTCTTTGTCCTCCTAGCTGTTTAATGGCTCAAAATATCATAAGATACAGAAATAAACAAGTAATACACACCCACTGACGGCCCCTTGTTTCTGCCTGTTCCCTCTCTCTCCCTGTCTTGTTTCTGCCCACTCATCCCCCAACCCCAGGCTCCTCTCTCTTCATTCTCAAGCCCTGAAATGGACTGAAGTTTGCACCTTATCCTCCCTTTGTCCAGAAGTTACCTGGTTACCACCTGAGTTTCTGGTCTCCCAAACTGTCCTTCAATGTACACATCCATACATAGTAGAATTAGGAGCAGCTCTTCTTTCCCTATTCATAGATACTTACCTCGTAATTATTATTATAAAACATCCCAACATTTAATCATAAATGAAGACATTTGTGTGATATCACATAAAAATTGATTTTATTGTTTAGTGTCTGTCGGAGTTTCTTGAGTCAAATTATATCTAGATCTCCTCTTTCTGTTGTTGCTGTTATTGGACCTGTTTCAAGTAAGGGGTTTTGTTTATTTCTTGCAATTATTTTTCAATTGGTATTTATATTTTTTCTTATTTTTAAAAATATTTTTATTGATTTCTTAGAGGAAGGGAGAAGGAGAGATAGAAACATCAATGATGAGAGAGAGTCATTGATCGGCTGTCTCCCGAACGTCCCTTACTGAGGATCAAGCCCATAACCTGGGCTTGTAGCTTGACGGGGAATCAAACCCTGACCTCCTGTTTCATAGATTGATGCTCAACCCCTGAGCCACACTAGTCAGGCTATATCTATTCATGAATACTAAAAAAATTCAACATTCAAGACACATCCACTTATACTCTCACCATTTTGTATTGTTATGTTCATGTATCTTCCATCTGTAAATTTGATAAACTTCAGAGAACATTAATAATTTCTTGGATGTGAGCAATTATTTTCTCTCCAGATTTATTGAGAAATGTTTGACACAGAATGCATGCAAGTTTAAGGTATGTACTGGTGCATATTTAATATACCTATATGGTAAAGTGATTGCCACAACAAAGTTCATTAACACTTCTATGCTCTCATCTAATTACTACTGTTATGATTATAACATTAATGACATACTCCCTTAACAACTTTCAGGTATATAACAAAATACTGTTAATTGTAGTCATCATGCTGTCCAGTACATCCCCAGGAATTATTCATCTTGTAGCTGAAAGTTACCCTTGACCAACATCTCCCCATTTCCCCACCCCCAGCCCCTGCATCACCGTTCTCCTCTCTTTCTGTGAGTTCAGCTTCTTTAGACCCCACTGTGAGAACACACTGCAGGTAAACAATGACTATTTTGAAAAATACCCCTCACAGTTGTTCCTCTCATGCAGTTCTAGGCTTCCATCACAAAATCACTTCCCTCCATACAGAAATTAACTCAAAATGTATTAAAGACCTAAAACTAATAACCAAAAGTATAAAACTCTTAGAGAAAAACATAGGGGGAGAGTCCATGACATTGGATTTTGGAATGATTTCCTCGATATTTACATCAAAAGCACAGACAAGGAAAGCAAACATAGACAAGTGGGACTGTACCAACTTCAAAACCTGAACACAAAAGGACACTCTCACCAGACCCCAGAGGCCACCTACAGCATGGCAGAGAAGATGTATCTGATGAGGGCTTAATCTTCAGAATATATTACAAACTCATACGAGGCAACATAAAAAACCCAAATAACACATCTGAAGAATTGGGCAAAAAACTTGAGTCGATATTTCTCCAAAGATGATATTCAAATAGCTAACAAACTTATGAAAAGATATTCAACATCAGGAATCCTAAAGAACTGCAAATCAAAGTCCTTGCTGGGTAGCTCGGTTGGTTAGAGTGTCTTCCAGTTGGCTGGTTTGATCCTTTCGAGGGCACATACATCAATCAACCAATGAATGCATAAGTCAAAACTATAATGAGGAATCACCTCATAATCTTTAGGACGGCTACCATAAAGTAAAACCAAAAGCCCAGCTGGTGGCTCAATGTTTAAGCATGGACCTATGAAGTGGAGATCATGCTTGGATTCTCAGTCAGGGCACATGCCCAGGTAGCAGGATTGATCCCAGTAGGGGGCATGAGGAAGGAAGCCAAATAATGATTCTCTCTCATCACTGATGTTTCTATCTCTCTCTACCTCTCCCTTCTCCTCTGAAATCAATAAAAATATATATTTTTTAGAAAACAGCAGGAGATAATAACAAGTGCAGGTGAGGATGTGCAATAATTGAAACCATTTTGCACATTTGGTAGGATTGTAAAAGGATATACCAGCTATGGAAAACAATATGGCAGTCCCTCAAAAAATAAAAATAAAAATAGAACTTCCATGATATGTAACAACTCCTCTTGAGGTTATACATCCAAAAGAACTGAAAGCAGGACCTCAAAAAGATATCTGCATACCCATACTTATAGTGGCATTATTGAATACACAATAGTCAAGAGGATTCAGGAACCCAAATGTCCATTGATGGATAAATGCATTTAAAAGGGTCATATGTCTTAGGCCAGGGGTGGGCAACCCTTGGCACGCGCGCCAAACACCGCACGACAGTAACTTTTGCTGGCACATGAAACCCTCTCTTATAATCTTCCATTTACAATTGTGAATCTTTGTTCTCAGTGATGAATTTTGTTAAATCTCATAATAGGAGTAGCCTGACGAATGAAAGTAGTAGCTCGTGCATATCTCTGAAGGTCACGAAATATAAACCTGATGTAAAATCTCTGTCATCAGTGATGCAGCAGCAAAAGTCCCACTGATAATATCAAACGGAGTCATAAAGTTTTCTGTCGGACTAGCAGTGTACATGTATACATTAAAAAACAAATGTATTGTTCATCATCATATACTGTGTTTTTGTCGCTCGAATGAATTTTATTATTTCTTCAAGGTTCTTCACATACGTACACCTTAAGAGATATCAAGTAGGTGTAACATGTTCTCAAAAAATGAGGGTTGGCACGCAGAAGAATTTTGAGTCAGAGATTTTGCTGGTTTTGGCACGCACTCACAAAAAGGTTGCTCACCCCTGTCTTAGGCTGTTCTGGATGTTTTCACAAAAGACCATAGACTGGTGGTTTATAAGTAGCAGGAATTTATTGCTCAAAGACCTGGAGACTGGAAATCCAAGATCAGGGTGCTAGCACGGTTGGGTTCTGGCGAGTGCCCTCTTGCACAGTACTGGTGACCTACTTTTAGTTGAAACATCACATGGTGGAAGGGGAGAAGGAGCTCTCTCAGGCCCCACCTGCTAACATCATCCCCTTGGGTGTAGGGAGCGGCCATAGGGTTTAAGCCTCAGACTGACCTGTGGCAGGGCCACAGACAAGTCCCAGCTTAGGGGGCAGAGCCCTCCAGCATAATTAAGCTTGACCTTATAGCCCTCCCTAGTTCCTTCCTAGGCAGCTAATGGGCTGTGGGAGGTGCAGCAAGTGCTGCCAAAACAAAGTGCAACTCGCAAGAACCTTGTAAACATGTTGACCACTACCCTTGTTTTGATCTGACTATAAAATAAAACCTCAGCTTGCAGACTGGGTCTATCTGTGTCCTCATCCAGGTGGAGGAGATCCACAAAGGCCCAGCTGTATTCTCTTGTCTGCCTCAGGTTCACCCTTGGCCGTGCTGGCATGGCACACTTGGGCGTAAAGATTTCAAAATTTTTATTTCAGGAGGGACGTCAACATGCAGTCTATAGCATTCCACCATTGATCCCACAAAGTTCAATCTATTGCACATACAATTATTGTATTATTCAGTCCTTAAAAGAAAGGAAACCCTGTTAGTTGCTGTGACGTCGGTGAACCTTGAGAGCACTGTACTTAGTGAAATAGGGTGGTCACAGAAATACAGCTACTGGATGACTCCCTTTCTGTGAGGTATCTACAGCTGTGAAATTCTTAGGAACAGAAAGTAGAATGGTGGGTACCAGGGATTCGGGGGAGGGACAGATGAAGAGTCATTGTTAAATGGCTAAAGTGTATCAGTTTTGAGGATGATAATGTCCTGGAGAATGTTTGCACAACAATGTCAATATTCTTAACACTACTGAACTGTAAACTCAAGAATAGTTAAGATGGCAAATTAAAAAAAAATATCTTTATTGATTTCAGAGAGTAAGGGAGAGTGAAAGAGAGAGAGAAACATCAACAATGAGAGAGAATTATATATTGGCTGCCTCCTGCACATCCCCCAATGGGGATCAAGCCCACAACCCAGGCATGTGCCCCTGACCGGAATCAAACCTGGGACCCCTCAATCCGCAGGCCAACACTCTATCCACTGAGCCAAATCAGCTAGGGCAAGATGGCAAACTTTATGATATATATATATATATATATATATATATATATATATATATATCTCCAATATTATAAACCTAATCAACAAACAAAAAGCCTCACCCTTTTTCTTTACCTGAAGAACTTACTTTAGTATTTGTATAGGAAAAGTCTACTGGAATCAAGTCTGTTTGCTTATTTGATACTCAAATATGATTTATTTGATTTAAATAATCATCTGAGAGTTTCAGTCAAGATGGTGGCATAGGTAAACTCAGCACTCGCCTCCTCCCACAACAACATAGAAATTACAAGTAAAATATGGAACAATCATCATCCAGAACCACCTGAAATCTAGCTGAAAGGAATTCCTACAACTAGGGGATTGAAGAAGATGCACATTGAGACTGGTAGGAGGGGAAGAGATGCAGGGCAGACTCTCAGGACCAGCTGGTCTCACACCCACAAGTGTTGGTTTAAAATCAGGAGGGATATCTTGACTGTGGAGGTTTCCCTGAGGAGCAAGGGTATAAAGTCTGCACAACTTCTGGCTCAAAAAACCAGCTGGGATTGTGGCTGAGTCACACAGAGGCTGCTAGAGCCCCAGGCAGCTCCTCATAAAGGGCCTGAGCATGGTCTTACTCAGACTCACTCCCTCTGAGCCCTAGCACTTGGGTCACTGCTTATAGGGAAACTGGGACATTTAGGGAGGAACTAACTTATGTGGAATCTAGGAGAGAGCTGGAGGGGCAGCTTTCTCCCAGACAGAAGTGCTGATAGAGGCCATTGTTCCATAGCCGAGCCTTGAGAGAGAGAGATATGTGAGAGAGGAACATCAATTGGTTGCCTCCTACATGCCCATACAGGGGATGGGACCTGCAACCTAGGTATGTGCCATGACCGGGAATTTAACCTACAACTTTCTGGTGTAAGGCATGATGCTCCAGCCAACTGTGCCACCTGGCCAGGCTCCAGAGTTTAGCTGATACCCTTTGATTGCCTCTTTATAGGAGATTAATTCTGTCACATAGCAATAAATGTTAATATTACATTAGGTATTATTTACTAGAATATTATATTTATACTAGAGACACCGTACACGAAATTTGGCCACATGTAGGGTCCCAAGGCCTGGCGGTGATCAGGGCCAATTGGGGCCTTCCAGCTGCCAGCCAGGGCCTTCCTTTG